TAACTATAACAACTTCAGCCATCTGGGTTATTGGCTCTACTGCCTGTAATGCTGAATAGGCAGCCAATAACTGTTTTTCAATTATACTATATCTTTCTTCTGCTCCATGCCAGACCTGAGACCAAAAACCAATGGGGGTCCGAACAGAACTCTGGCATTGCCACAGGCCCCGACCAAAACCATCTCGAGTAACATGAACATCCAACTCAGCTGGGAGGGTAGGATCAAATATACCCAATACCTGGGCTTGTTTAACTGCCAGTTTTGTCTGTTGGAAAGCAGCCTGTTCTGTTTTCCCCATCCCATAGCTGCCCCTTTTTTGTGAGTCTGTACAGTGGCCTTAGCAGCTGCGCTAGGTGAGGTATAAAGGAACGCCAGTAACCCAACATACCTAGAAACTCTTGCAGCTGCTTCAATGTTGTAGGGACTGGGAACGCCTGAACCTTATCTATGACAGCACTGGGTAGTACTTTAGTCTTTCCTGACCAAACCAGCCCCAGGAATTTTACAGACAGGCCCGGACCTTGCACCTTTTGGGGATTTATAGCCCATCCCCTCTGTTGTAAACAGGCGGTTAATGAATCTGCCGCCTGCCCTACTGCCTCCAGTGAGTCGGATGTCAGCAGGAGATCATCAATATAATGATACAGGTTAACATCATCAGGTTTTTTCCAATCAGCCAGGTCACACACCACTAGATTGTGACAATACATTGGTGAAAGCACCTGTGGCAGGACCTGAAAGGTCCACTGCCTGCCTCCCCACATAAACACAAATTGATCTTGCAATTCCTCAGCAATTGGGATACTGAAGAACGCATTTGCTAAATCTAGGACACAATGATAGGTTTTTATCTCCCTACTCAATGTATCGATTAGGGAGGCAATATTGGGTACGGCCGCATAAATAGGCGGCATGACCTTATTTAATTCTCTGTAATCTACTGTCATCCTCCACATGCCATCTGACTTCCGCACTGGCCATATGGGGGAATTATATGGCTGTGAGCAGGCTTTATAATGCCCACTTCTTCTAATTCCTGCACCGTTCTCGATATTTCATCTTGCCCACCCAGGAGTCTGTACTGTCTTACATTAGTAATCTGGCATGGTTTCAGCAGGCAAATAGACCCATGTTTTGCATGGCCTCTTAATATTGCCTGCACTGCCCTGATACTGATACATCTGTCGAAGTCTGAACTCCCTCACAGTTGTCTGGAGAGCCAGACCCCATAGAATATCTATGCCCAAGATGTACTCCTGGACTGGGGCAATAGATACCATATACTCCTAGGGTGGGAGATGCCCAACCCACAGTTTCAACCATGTTTGGGTGACAGGAATAGTCTGTCCCCCAAAACCACCAATCATCACTCTGTCTCCATCAAATTTGGTTGATCTCCATAAATAATTGATGTTTCTGCTCCAGTGTCCACTAATGCC